TTCCCTCTAACTAGTGGGCCTCATTTTTGCATTTTCTCCTAGAATCTTCTGGTCCCTCCCCACACGGCACTTCTCAGAGAGGCCTTCCCTAACCAGCCCAGGAGGTCTTTTCTCCTAGTTATTTCCAGCATGGGACCCTGTTCATCACCTCCACAGAGCCATCTCAACCAAGCTGTGATTGCGCATTTACTTCCTTACCTGTTCGTGGTCCTTCCCCGTCCCCCCAAAACTGGAAGCCCCACGAGAGCAGAGACCAAGTCTGGCTTTAGCTCACTCTCACAGCCGGGCCCCCGGCACTGGGCATGCCATACAGCAGGTGCTCAGTAAGTAGTTGAATGAATGGATGTATTTCATAAATGGATTAAAAAAATCAGACTACAAGATTAGGCACGTGCAGCTCACGGTACGGCTGCAACTGTGTAAATGTCAAGTGCCCACATGGATAAGGCTGGGAAGGAAAGCAGAAGTTTCCTGAGGATGCCTGGTTGCCTGGTATCTCCTTAAGGTGTTTGGACAATGGGGGCATTTCCCCCTACTGTGACCGCCCCTGTTATCTAGAAACAGGTAAGACTCCTTTCAGAAGGTCTGATGCCAATCCAGGCAGGAACCTGGCTTTTTCTCCAAGCCTGCTTGTCCTTGGAGCACTACTGGGGACTGCCGGTCAGTAGACCCACTGGTGAATGTGCAGGGGTGTCCAGACCCTTCATCTGGGCCCAAGCAGCCAGAGCTGTCTCTCTTTCCCTCCCAGTGTCATCATACAAGTGATGAACTGGTCTAAATATTTCAGGATACGTTCCTCAAAACCTTGTTCAAGCAGAAAATGCCAACCCTGTGGTGCCCCACAGTCCATCTCGCTCATTCAGCAGCTGCACAGGGACAAGAGCCGGCGCTCATTCACTGAGCACCTACTGTGCGTCGAGCCGGCGCTGCACGCTTTACGTGATCTCATTTGATCTCTGACAGCCTTCCTTGCAAAGCTTTTAGAACCATTTTAAAGGCAAGGCCACTGAGCCTCACAGCATTAAGACCCTGAGCACCACCACAAAGCTGACCACTTCCAATTACTCCAGGGGCTGCAAAGTCAAATGTCGATGGGGCCAGGGTGGCACCACACAGGAGAACACAGGCCCCATCTCTGGGGGCTGCCCTCCCCTCCTCCCTCCGCTCCCCCCAGAGCATTGGCTGCTAGGGCTGGGGGAGCTCATGATTTGCAATGGTGGCAACCAATTCAACTAAGAAGAGTACCCCAAAGTGCCTATCTGTTAGAGAGCAGTATTTATAGACGCAATAATATGATGTCTTCCATTGGCTTTAATGTACCAGAGGGGTTATTTTAAAGAGACAGGGCAGGGCAGATGAAATGAGACTTAGCAAAAGGGTAATAACTTGTTGAAGCTGAAGGCTGGGTTTATGGAGATTCATGGTGTTACTCTCTCTGGAAGTCAAATCTATTTTATCTAGTATAGTCTTCTCTTCCCATCCCCCTTCCCTTCCCCTCCCTCACCCTTCCTCCCTTTCTCCCTTCCTCCCTCCCTTCCTTCCCTCCCTTCGTTCCTCCCTCCCTTCATTCCTCTCTCCTTTCCTTTCTTCCTTTGCAGCTGCCAGTTTGTGACCTCTGCCCCACATCACTCTCCTCTCCATCGGAAACAAAACAGGCTTTAGGCACAGTAAGTCTGCTTCTTTCTGGAGGGGTGACGCCTCTCTGATGCTCCCTGTCAGAAGCCACCCTTCCAGAGCTCACCTGGCACACCTGGCCGGAGGCCGGCTGCTGGTCAGCAGACCTGTGAGATGGCTCCCGAGGACTCGCATGCTGTGGTTTCTTATCCAAGTGTGTGTTTAGTAAACACACTTGAGGTCACCTCTTCTTGCTGTGCTGAGCTGGCATTCCTTTAAGACTTTCAGACCATGTCACCTCAGATAACAGTCCACAAATCCCAAACATTTCTCCCTCAGTCCTCAAGCTTGGCAGGGAGACCAAGCAGTGTGCTCCTAGGAAGCCTGCCCAGTGTAGGGGATCAGAATTGGCCACCCCAAAATGTGTCTCTTTGCCCTGATTATTTTTAAGAACAAAAGACTCTGAAAGAAACTTTGGCCTTCTCCCCCACTGCCTAAAAGAATTTAAGATAGAAAGCCTGTTCCAGGAAGGAGCTAATACCAGGAGATAACTATAGTATAATGTAAAATAGGTGTGATAAGAAAGGCACCTACAAGCCTTGTCCAAGTTCTGTCTCTCGGGCCACCTTCTCAAACATTTGCTTTTCCATTTCCGTGTGAATTGCCTTCCTCCCCTCTGAAATCCCAAACTCCCACCCCCAACATCCTCCTTTGTCTTCACCTGAAGATAGTATTTAAGATGAGAACCTCTGCCATTTTGTAGAGTTACTCAGTTTCCCTGGGTCTCTCCCATGTATACATGTTATTAAACTTTGTTTGATTTTCTCCTGCTAACCTGCCTTTGTAATTATTTGGCTGGCCATAAGAGCCTCAAGGGACAGGGAAGGGGGGTTGGGGGGTTCTCCCTCTTCCCCAACACCAGCTTCCACTGGTCAGCTCTATGGATGCCTTCACCCACGTTAGGAGGCTTCCTGCATCTTCCATACACAGCAGGCATTCTGTGAAATGCAAGGCACGCTCATTTCTCCCCAGTGGAAGATGAGGAGCTGTAGCATTTAAGAGCAATCACCAAGAAAAAGCAAAGCCATGCAACGACACAAGCATATCTTATTCTAGTACCACATGCTCACAAATCCATGACTCCCAGTGTTTTCTGGATGGCGCCCTCTCCAGCAAAGACATAATTTGCAATCAGGCAGGGTAAAGACAGCCAGCCATTACCTTCTTAATGGCCAACTACCCAAAAAGGCTCAGTTAAGTGATCTCAACTAGCAATCTAATCAATTAATCTCAACTAGCAATCTAATCAATTAAAATTGGTAAGTGAAATACTTTTAACCTTTCTTTCAGCAGGCCATTCCTAGGGGGAGGAGGGAAGAATGCGAGTTTGCAGCATACAATTTAATCCATTTCACGGATGCAAACATTCTTGCTGCCCTGATGGAGTGGCCCCTTTAAAGCAAGCTGTTTCCCTTTCTTTCCTTGAATCAAATCAGAGAAAGACTGGTTTATGGTTCTCTCCAGCCAACTCGATCAATTTAAACCCTGACAGAAATCCCTGTGACCATTTCTCAAGGGAGAAAGGACCAAAGGAGATGGGCACAGAGGGGACTGAGCTTCCTTGTTCTCTCAAGACAGAGAAGGAAAAAAGAGCATAAACAAGAAGAAGACAAGAAAAAGACGTTAGACAACCAGGTAAAACCCACAATAATCACTGACTGAGAATCTTCTATGTGTAGGCAGTGTGCCTTGCTCTTTATATGCATCACCTCATTTTTTTAGCGGGGAACACTGACTACACTTTCCTGAGCACAGTTATATGGCAGGCACTATGTTCGGTCATATTATACTCCACATTATATTTCACTCAAGTCTCAAAACAACCCCATAACATAAGGAAGATCATCCCCATTTTACACGTGAGGAAACGGAAGCTGTGGGGGCTTCAATCATCTGCTCAAGGGAATACAGAGCAGGGCGGGGGAGTCTGGTTCAAAGGCAACCCTCAACGGCCTATATCATGACCGCTGGTCACACAACTGAATAGCTTTGTCAAAACACATTCAATTGTACACTAAAACTTGGTGAATTTTATTGGACGTAAACTGTGTTTCAATAAACTGATTTAAAACAATAACGAGCCTCTCCTCACCATACAGCACGAAGAGTGGCCATCTGCTGTTCCTGCCTGCCCAGCCTCCATCTCTTCTTTGTCAGTTTCCCTCAAGGGCCCCCTCCTTCCTCACTCTCAGTTGATGGGGTTCAACAGGAACAGGTCTCACCTCCCAGCTCCAGGGATGGGACCCTGGCCTAGCCAATCAGTGAATCAGATTCCTCTGACACTGACTGGTTCAGGGATGGTCATATGAGCCAAGCCAGGCCAATGAGAGCCCTGCCCTGGACTTCTATGAAAGTTACAGGGAAAGAGAAGCTCTCTTTCTGTCAGGGCTGCTTAGCAGGTTCAGCAGATCTTGGAGCTGCTGTCACTACCATCTTGTCACTACCTGGTGAAAGCCCTCCTGAGGATGAAGCCAGAATAGAGGAGAGCAGAGCTGCAAGATGGAGCATGGCAGCTTCCAAATGACACTGCTTCAGTACCTAGATCCAGCCACGCCTGAAGGCAGAACTACTCCTGGACTTCTCAGTGACATCAGCCAATTCCTCTTTCTTTTTCCTTAAGCTAGCCTAAGTTGGGTTTTCTGTCTCTTATAACCAAATAGTCCTAATATAGCACAATGCCTTTAAGAAACAGAAAACCATCTTGCACATCAATGTGCACATGCGCCACAGCAAACAGACGAAACAGAGAACTATATGAATATGAGAAAGGTTATAGGAATGTGACCAAGCTTTAAATCTCAGCGTCGTGTTGCGGAGGAGAGCACTCAGGCACTGCGTGGTTAGACAAGCAGCCCAAGGTTGCAGGCTAAGCACCTGGTTCTCCAGCCTCCAAATCCTTCCTCTTTACCTAAATGCTGGTGACTGGCATTTCTGAAAGCTTTCTTTTCTTTTAGCAGCAGAATCCTTTAATCATTGGAATCATACAGAAAACCCTTAACATACAAAACCAATCAGACTGGTGCTGCTAGGATTATACAGAGGGCAGGGATCCTAGAACTGTGCCCACCTCTGCATGGATTGCTCAGCAAACCACCTGCACAGCTCTACCTGGTCTCCAGACAACAGAAGCCGCAGACTGACTTCAAGGTGCCCAGAACCTGGGGCCCTTTCTTTCAAAGCCAACACACGCACACTGTGTTAGCTCACATCACAGATCAACAGCAGCACAAAATGCAGGTCTCGCGCCAACCCTCCCAGTGCCGTGTGAGTCAGCGTGGTAGTGTTGCCACCCCACCCCCGGCCCTGACTCAGGGCGCCCAACTCACTCAGATCCAGGACGTCGTCAGCTTTGATCAGGTCCTCCTCCCGTGTCAGCGGCAGCTGGGTCTCCGGCTCCCCTCGCAGTTGCAGGGACAAGGAACGGAGCATGAAGAACACCCGGATGGCCTGGACGGAAGGAGAGAAAGCAGAGGAGAGTGGAAATACAATCATTTCGGTGGGATGCTCCACGTGGAGAAATCACAGTGACTCTCCATGTGAAAAAGAAAGAAAACGGGGCCGGCCCGGTGGCACAGCGGTTAAGTTTACACATTCCGCTTTGGCAGCCGGGGGTTCGCCGGTTCGGATCCTGGGCGCAGACCTACTCACTGCTCCTCAAGCCATGCTGAGGCGGTGTCCCACATAGAAGAAGTAGAAGGACCTACAACTAGCATATACAACTATGTACTGGGGCTTTAGGAAGAAAAAAAAGAAAAAAAAAAGAGGAAGATTGGCAACAGATGTTAGCTCAGGGCCAATATTCCTCAAAAAAACCCAAAAACAAACAAACAAAAAAACAAAACAAAAAAGAAAGAAAACAAAACAAAAGCCCACCCCTGCCCGTATCACGGTTCTGGTGCTTTCAGAGCAAGGCAAAAAAAATCAAAGGGGTGCAGCCTGTTTTCAGTTATCCATGGGTTTGGGTTTGGGCCACTACACCTCAGCTGAGCACCTGTCATTTGCCAGGACCTTTCTCTAGTGTCACATGACCCGCATGCAGGCAGCCCCACTTCGCAGACGAGGTGCCGAGACCCAAGGAAGCGAAGTGACCTGCCCCAGGCACATGTCTAGGGAGGGCTAGCACCAGGCCTCCTCCAACTACACCAGCACAGAGTGTGGAATCCCAGTCACCAGTAAAACTGTTTCAGGGTGTGGGGGCGGGGCAGACAGAAGAAGGGGAGATGCAGAGCTGGCCAGACCCAAATAAAACCCTGCCCCTGCCCCTCCCTGGGTGAGCCCCTTCACCTTGGAGCCTCAGTCCCTTGGCCTTACAACAGAGGGTGTGCCACCCACAGGGCAGCGGATCTGGCACCCGGCAGGTGTGCAGTGACATCAGTGCCCTGAGTGCCCCTCACACATCCCAGCCAGTTTTCTGGGAGCAGAGGCGGCTCCGTGGAAAAGGGATCTGGGCAGAATCCGGTGTGGCCATCAGGCATTTCCAGAGAGCAGAAAAAAAGCAGAATCCCAGGCCCCAGAAGGCAGAGAAACTTGTACAGAAAGCAGCTTTCACCCTGGGGCCGGCCTGCCCTGGTAGCAGCACCCCCTTGAGTCCTAGGTTGGGGCTGATTTGTCCATCAACCAGAGGCCAGGAAGTAGAGGGGCAGCCCACAGGAGAGGCCACCTCCAGGCCACTTTCCCTGAGTGTCTGCTTGGCGGGCATGCACCCGAGGGGAACAGCTCCAGAGTCAGACATATAAGGTCTGTGTTGGACTCCCAGCTCCTCCACGTTGGGAGAGGCCCTTGGCCTCTGTGAGGTTCATTTTCCTCATCTGTGAAACGGGGACGGTAGTCCATACCTCACAGGGCTGCTAGGAGGTTCTGAGATAATGCTGAAGGGGAAGCAGCCAGCATGCGTTCCGTAAAAGAGTGACCATGCTTTACTCCAGTCACTCGACAGCTGGACATGGAGGTGGGCACCCAAACACTGTCACCACTGGTGATCCACACAAGAATGAATTCCAGCCCACTTCTGGGTCTTCTTGTTTACAGTTCTGAGAGCTACCGGCCTGGCCTACTGAGAGGGAGGCTGCCCTTTATACAACAAGGTGCCTCCCCCAACAAGAGCGGGGACAAATTACTGTCTGCAAACAGCGGGGCTTGCACTGGCTCCTGATGACCCAGGCAACAAGGATGCCCATCAGCTCCGCCAAATGCTGCGCTGGCCTGGACCTGGTGGGAGATTGAGCCAATTACTTCACGTCCTAATGTAGAGAACCGGAAGAACAACTCCACCGCCTAGGCCGATGTTGCAGTCATGTATTCTCCTCTGTCAGCCATAAGCACTAGACAACGATAAGCTTTTATTTTATAATGATGATGATGGTGGTGGTGGTGGTGGCATTAGTACTGATTAGATTGTTCTTAACAGTTTCTTAAAGTACAGTCACGTGTCGCTTAACGACGGGGACACGTTCTGAGAAATGTGTTGTTAGGCGATTTCCTTGTTGTGCAAACATCATACAGTGTACTCACACAAACCTAGATGGTACAGGCTACTACACCCCTAGGCTCTATGGTACTAATCTTAGGGGACCCTCGTCATATACATGGCCATCGCTGACCGAAATGTCACTATGCAGCGCATGACTGTACGGTCTTTATAAAGACATCTGCAACAATCAGAAGAAAAAGAAGTGTAGTTTCACTCAAAAAAAAAATCAAAACAGCTTTTATTTATTAAGCACCTATTGTGCACCAGGCACCGTGGGCACTTACTGCCACGTAAAGATTTTCTGCAGGAAGAAACAGAGCTGAGAGGGCAGAGCAATGAGTTCACACAGCTGATGAGGCTGAGCTGGGGTTTGAATCCAGGAACGTCTGATAGTTGCGTCACTTAACCCAGCACACAAGGAAATACAAACGCCCGCACCAGCCCAAGCGCAGAAAGCCCAAGATGTGGGTGGTCACTTGGCCTATTTGGCAGTTTGAGCTCTTAAATCAAGTCATGACCTCAGACATGAGGAAAAAGAAAGAAAAAGGCCCGTCTTGGACAGTCAGATCCAAGTTGAGTGGATGCTTCATTTCTGTCAAAAACCCATTCCTCTTGGGGTTCTGAAGGCAAAGAAATCAAGCAGGTCCCGGGCCAGGGGATGAGAAAGAGGAACGTGTGTGGCTCTCTGCAGACTGTCACTCTGAAAACCGGAAACCTGCCAATACAAAAGGAGTTTGGAATTTGGCTCCTAATGTAGACCTTTTCGGTAAAACAGTGGCTTTTGTTCTGCAAGCAACAAACAAAAATATTTCCAGGAAATCAATAAGACAGTAAAAAACATAATGTAGAATATAAAACATATAAAATAAAACTTCCCAATAATACTTTTCCTGGTTTCTGCCCCAACTCGTAAGAGAAAGAAGAACACGTGCAAAGCCCACGCCCATGACTGTGAGGAGGGCAGATGCCCATAGGGCTGGGTGCTCCACTTGGGCGACAGCTGGGCTCCCATGGTGGGGCAGTGGGGTCTGGCAGGCACACTGACCAGCCCCACAACTCCGAGAATCCACAAAAGAAAGGCAAGATTCCAGGTAAGGGGCATCAAATTCATCCGACCGCCCCCTAAAGCAGCCGCCACTCCCTCTGCTTACCCACAGCCTGCCAGGTATGGGTGGAGGCTGTACCATGCCATCTCATTCAAGTCTTTTAATGACTCTGCGTGGTTGCCATTTTACAGACAGGAAACCCAAGCCCAGAGATGTTAGGCAGCCTGCCCAAGGTGACTCAGTTAATAACTGGACTCCAAAGTCTGTGTTCTTCCAACCACATGCCTTTGCCTTCAGAAGGTTTAAGGCTTGGGACTCAGGCTTTTATTGAGTGCCTTTCTTTACCCTGCTAAACACACATGAAACTAAACAATGTCACTAACAAGGAAAGAGGAGCCCTTCTTTCAGATGCTTCCATAGAACGCCAGGAAGACTGGCTCTGGAAAAACAGAGCAGACCGGAAAGGGGTGAGAGCTGACCAAGCTCAAATACAAAGAAGAGACTCATCCAGTTAGCTTCAGCACCCCTGGGAGCAAACTTGGGCAAGGAGGGGCCTGGGCAATGAGTCGGAGGAGTGGGGCAGGAGGACAGCTCCGGAGTCAGACCGACCTCGGCTCCACCTGGGGTCAGGCGAGTCACACGAATTCCCTGAGACCAGGCTGGAGCTCTGCACATGGGGCACCCACCACCCCTGATCATGGGGCCACTGCGAAGGCGCAACATAGTGCAGGTAACACACTGAGTCCTGGATCAAATGCTCAGTTTGCATTTGCAAGCTGCTGAGTAGAGGTGACGGTCACTCAGGTGAGAAGCCCACCAAGGCCGTGGAAGTGGCTGTGAAAGTGAGTCATTCTTAAAAGAGGGCTGGAGCAGGGTCAGTGGGCACAGCCCATGGGGAAAGTCATTTGGCCACTGCAGAGTCACAAAAAATGTCCAGACCCTTTGAACCAGAAATGCCACTTCTGGGAACTTATCCTCAAGAAATAAGCCAAAAGAAAGAAAACGCTGTATTCACGGAGCTGCTCATTACAGTTTAGTTGAAAATAAGGTAACACTGAAGGCAACCAAAATGTGTACCAGCAGGAAAATGCCCAAGTCAATTATGGCAGAGGTCACCAGATAACACTTTTACGCACCAGTAAGAAATCAGACTTATTAAAACTGTATCACGTGAAAACTTGCTCTACAGTGGAGAGAGAAGCGGGAAGGCTGAAAGCGAGGCCATGGTACACTTTCCGGCCACCATGAAAAGATGTGTCTGCAAACAAAGATAGGGAGGAGACACAAAAATGTCTAAGTGTTGTTTGTTTTGGGTGATGAAATCACAGGAAATTCTTTCGCTCTACTTTTGAAACTTTATATGTTACTGTATTTTCTTTAATGCGTAATACACATCTAAAGAGTAAAAGCAAAATATCCTATTTCCTCAAGGTCAAGAGCGATAAACACAAACACTGTCTGTGGTTTTACAAGGGACCAGGGAAACAGATGCGGGGACAAATAAAACTTCATGCAAATACATTTACTTCACAATGGCTTCCAAGAGCACTATGTAAAGATGGCTAGTGGCTTAAATTCAGATTTTGACATTCACCAAAAACCCTCTCCCTAACTCTCTTTTCTCTGGTGTTAGGCTTCAATAGATTGAGGTCATTACAGACTATTTCTTTCCCATCTAAGACGCTAGAATGCTCCACCGCTGTCCAGCCCACATTTCCTGGGCGCTTACTGTGTGCCAAGCCCTGGGTTCCCCACCTCGGTTGCTCTCTCATCTATTTTAGGCAAGAGCTGAGAGGCGGGACACATGAGCAACCTGAGGGTCAGGGAGGTTTAGTAAGTTGCTCAAGGTTCCACAGTTAGAGTTGGGACTGAATCTCAGCTGGTCTGACTCAAAAGCCTGTGTTCTTTCTTAACTGCTTCTTTCAACTGCCCCTACTCACGGGGTGGATCCAGCCCAAGTCCGAGGTTCTGCCTGCATGTTCCCGTCAGACCCAGTAGTTCCAGTAACCTTCATTTCCACATGAGTTTCCCTTCTCAGCTGGCACGGCTCAGCAGCACTCTTGCTATTTTGGTTTTATTCTATATTATTTGTTCACTGTCTATCCTTGCATCTTGCACTGTGCCTGGCACCTAGCAAACGCTCAACAAGTATGCCGAATGGAAGAATAAACAATGTCATTTGCAAAACGCAAGAGGGAAAATCGACTTTAGCCAGATGCCTCCCCATGGCCTGCAAGGCTCCGCCCCCTCCTCCTGCCCTCTTCACTCGCTCTGCTCTGGTCACCCTCTTCCCTGAACACGCCATACTCTTTGGCATCTGGGGGCCTCCGCACTCACTGTTCCCTGTCTGGAAAGTGCCTCCTATACGTCTTTGCATGGCTCCTCTTCTCGCTCTTCAGGTTTCAGCTCAGACATCACCTTGGCAGAGCAGCTTTTCCTGAACATTCTGTCTGAAGTAGTGCCACCCCTTTCCTTCAGAGCCTTTACTGCAATCCGATATCAGACTGCCATTCACTTGCTTGCTAACAAATTTTCCCTCTCTCGATGTCCTGTGAGGTCCAGAAGGAGGGACCTCTGTCCTGCTCACTTCTGCACCCTCAGGCACGGCATCTGGCATACAGTAGGAACCCAGGGCTCTCTGACGAATGTACGCAGGGATATTTTACAGGTTAGGAATGATTTACCAGTAAGCGTTGTTTGAACTTCTTTGACAAATCCTTAAGGAAAATAAAGGGTGGGATTTCTGAAAAGGATCAGCCTCCTGAAAAGTTTGACAAAGTCTACTTGGTGGAAAAAAAAAAAAAGAAAACCTTTGAATCCAAAAGGATGAAATGGAATGTTCTTTGAATACAAGCAAAGAACTTGAAACAAACCACATAAGCCCTCAACTGCTTGCTAAACCATAGACTTCCTTTAGCTCAAATTCAAAGCACACTGTTGTGTTCTGAAGTCTGAAATGGGCCGGGGAGCTAAGCTTCTGAAGGATTCCAGACAGCTGCCCTGCAACAGGAACTGGACTGAGGTGAGTGGCCGAAATTCCCCTGCAGAAATTAATTTTTGAAGTCACAAAGGGAAGCTTTCCTAAGGTGGATGGCTTTGCTTTGAGGTGGGCAGCCCTATTTTATACCATTCTGCCACCTTCTCCCTGGCTCTAAACACATGGACTCTGGAACTTGAGAGCTTCTTTTATAAACTGGTCAGACAAGGATGAACGAGAGACCCCAGGGAAGCCCAGGCATTCGTAGTGCTCTGTCTGGGGCTAGCAGCTGGGGCCGGGCATCCCGTCTGGGGCAATGCAGGCGGACAGCACGGCCCTGGGAAGTGCAACTAAGTGAGACATGAGGGCGAAGGGAAGACGAGAACTCTGGCCCTCAAGACTGCTGCTGGCCTTGTGTTTCTGCCCTTCACTGAGTCCTCACGAGAGCTCCGGTGAGGCAGGCACATGCTGCTTCCCAGAGGAACAGAGAGTGGCTCAGGAAGGAGAGGAACCCCAAAGCCTGAGCAACCCTCCCTCCGCCAAACGCCCCACCCCTGAATTCCTCCCTCTCTCTCCTGTGGATCAGGACTGTCGCCCCAAGCCAGCAGGACGCGATGTCAGCCATGGGCTAACAAGTCCAAGGCCCCTGAGAGCCGGCTCCTCCAGCCCCTCCAGCCTCATCACTTCCCACGGAGCCTCCCTCACTCTGGGCTCCAGCCTCAGTCCCCTCCTTGGAGGTGCAGGAATGTGCCACATCTCTCTGGGCCTTTGCCTCCTGCAGCTGCCCAGCCCATCCCCAATTCCTGGCTTAAGGACCATCCCTCTGGTGCCTGCTCCACCTCCCTGCCCAGGTAGGATTAGGGATCTGACCCCATGTTCCCTCAGTAACGGCCCCAGCTACATGGATGATGCTGCCTTTTCCCACCTCACCCACTAGACTGATGCCTTGAGGCCTGGGGCCGTGTTTTCTATGTCCCTGGTGTCCAGCACTGAGTAGGGCTAATAAACACAGTGAAGGGAGCAGGGGGTCAGAGTGGCTGAGAGCTTAGGCTCTGCAGGGCACACCACCTGGGCTGAAGCCTGGCTCTGCTGCTTATCAGCTGGGTGACCTTGACCTGGCAGATGTCACTTTGACATCTTCATGCCTCAGTTTCTTCCTCTGTAAGATGGGGATAATAATAGTGCCAACCTCCAAGGATGGTTGTAGAATTACATGAGGAAATTCACATAAAGAATTGATATGAATGATCCAATTTATAGCAAAGAACATGAGTTCGTATAAGTGTTAAGAAAACCTGATGGACCTTGAACCAAAAAAAAAGGATGCAACCCAGAGCAGCAGCTCTCAATGTTCACAGCTTTCTGGACCTTCTGGCTCAGGGGCTGTCTGGGTCCTCTCTGGCCTGGGGACGCTGCAGCCTGGCCAGTTCCATGGTAACCTTGCCGGGAGCATCTCTCAGGCCAGCCAAAGGCTAAGGGAGAGCATGCGCGCATCACGAAGGAGTCGCTGAGACGATACTCATTTGTCAGAACCAGTTCTCCTGTAAAAGCCATGCCAAGGATGCCCGGTGCAAACACTGCCACCCACAAACAATTGTGTGCCTGGCCGCAGGGCCTGCAGCGCTGGCTGGGAGCACAAGGAAGGAAGGCGTCATTGGCTCGGACAGGGTGGGTCCTGTGGTGAGGGCTGTGGGTTTGGTCAGACAGCAGGGAATGTGGATTGACTTAAGACACAAGGTCTAACTTCCTCTGCCCCACCCAGGCCTCCGAGGCAAAACTGCCAGGTGGGTGGAAGAAAGTCTTGAAATTCTCTAGTCTGAGGCGGATTCAGCAGGTCATTCCTGCTTCTCAAAATCCAAAAGCTAAACACCTCTGCCTCACTCCTTACACTCGGATTAACTCAGAAGAAGATGCAGGCTGATAACGGGAGGGAGCCGAGTGCAGCGAATTCCTCTAATTTATCCACTAACATTCACGTCTCCAGGGAATGATTTTCTAGGAAAAGGTTATGGTGCTTTCTAAGAAAGAAACTGTGATCTTACGAGGGAGATAAAATACCATGAATAGCTCTGTGAGACTGCTTCAGAAAACAAGTGCTGATAACGGAAGCACACACTACAGCTGGGTTCTGAGAACTACTCTGTTCTTCACACGTTTCTCCCGCAGGCCGGCAAGAATCACAATTTCATTTGCGTATGCCCAGCCCCAAGATCACTCAGATACCCAAACATCGCATAATCTTTGGGGTCCTGAGCCACTCTGGGCTAAGATTTTACACCAGCCTCACCTGCACTGCATTACTCTGCTCACTCCCTCATTTGTTCGCAGAAGTCTGGCCCCTGGCTTCCTCTCTCAGAGCTCAGGGGCTGGGCCTGTGCTCTGCACCAGCACAGGCACCCTGCTTGCAACCGACATCTGGCGCCAGGTGTGATGGAATTCCCATCCCCGCTTTAACAAGGGCTACACGTTCTGGAAAGTTATGCCCGTGGCAGGGTGTGAGGGAGGTGCTGTTACCCACTGTCTGGACTTGTGTTGGGAGGCGGGCTCTTTTTTTTTTTTTTTTAGATTTTATTTATTTATTTTTCCCCCCAAAGCCCCAGTAGATATTTGTATGTCATAGCTGCACATCTTTCTAGTTGCTGTACATGAGACGCGGCCTCAGCGTGGCCGGAGAAGCGGTACGTCGGTGCGCGCCCGGGATCCAAACCCGGGCCGCCAGCAGCGGAGTGCGCGCACTTAACCGCTAAGCCACAGGGCCAGCCCCGGGAGGCGGGCTCTTGACCTGGTCAGAGACCCTTTCCTCCCCGCCCGGGAGTGGTCCTGGCAGACAGCCACCCAGGAGAGCCCGGGTCCAGTGCTCACTCACCCGCCTGGTCTTCTCCACGTCGCCACAAGGCAGCCGCTTCACGAAGTCAATGCCTGTCAGCGGCGTGCCCGTTGGGGGCAGCAGGATGGAGGCGTCCATCATGAGATACTCCACGTTCATGGGCTTCATCTAGAAGAGAGACATCACAGGAGACTTCACTGGGGGAGGGAGAGGTTACACACCTTCGTCTGCACGGAGCAGATGCCCACATCCACCGGATTAAGACTGAAGTGAAGCCTGGAGGCAGCCAGACACGGGAGAGATGTGCCTTTTTTGTTTTCTAAGTTGCAGATTTTTCCTCAATCGAAGCGACAGCTCAGATACTCTTGAGAATTTGCCTCCCTGCTATGAAAAGCTTTGTTTTCTCCTCCTCTCATTCCCCCTCCACCCAGCAGGCAGAGGGGTCCTCAGTAAGGAGGCCGCTCCCTTTAGGGTGCTCTGTGCTGTGCGTGAGCCTGACTGCTGCCTGCCTCCTCTGTACTTCCAATTATGATGATAACAGGCGCAGGGATGCAGTGATTGCAGCTTCCTAACTTCGGGGCAGGTGGTGAGCTACAGGCTTTTGGTGTATGATCCTGTTTAATGCTCCCAACAACTCCAGAGGGGATGTTGCCCAATCTGCTAATGAGAAACAGAGGCTCAGAGAAGCCGAGGAATGGATCTGGGCCCACTCAGCCGGCTGGTGGCAGGACCAAGACACAGACCCCTATGAGTCCCACCACACGACCAACATTCCCCCTTCCTTCCTCGCCCCCTTAGCATCTTACCTGGGATAACATAGCAAAGGCACTTCTAAGCATCTACTAAGTGCCAGGGACCTGCAGGGCTCATCTACTACTGGACAGCAGATGCTGGTGCTGCCCCATATTCCAGAGGGAGACACCGAGCTCAGAGGAAGGACACATGCCCACGGCCACTGGGCCAGACAGGGGCAGAGCTGCCTGCCTCCTTTCACACCACCTCCGTGAGGCCTTCTCTGATAACTAAGACACAGGTAACATCACCTCCCCTCCCAGAACTCTGCTGCATCAGTACTGCCCATTTAAGGGACACATGTTGCTAGACACTGACACTTTGTTTACCCAGCATAATAAAGGAACGACATTTCACAAGGGTAAATTTTCTGTGAAATTAATTTTACTCCTTCAAGCATCACAAGCTTCTGTTTGTGTCTTCTTTTTTTTAGAAAGTGGGCTTCAATCATATCACACTTTTTCCCCTCCTGTAACATAAAGCTGAGAGAACAGGGCAAGGCCGTGGTGAGGGCCCAGCTGTCCAGAGACCAGTGAGCAGGCTAGGGAGCCAAGGAGCCACTTAGCCCATGCCATCTGCCTTTTCCTTTTGCACACTTTAAGCACTTTTCTCCCAAGGCCTGAGGTCCACAACCCCAAATCCCTTCATACGTGGGCAGGGGTGGCAGAGCCCTGTTTCTCGTCCTGGGGCCGCCCTTGGCACCAGCCTTCTAGCAGCGTGTTTTGCTCTCTTGCAGCTCCCCTCCACTCTGCTCCCCACTGCTCTCAACACCTTCCTAGGGAGCCCCTTCTAGCCCGCTGTTGGTGGCAACAGCAGATGGTCGCACTCACTATGCCTTGTGTGTTAAACAAGAGGTGATAGAGAAATGAGTGAAGGGTCAAAAGTCAAGGCCTGGCTTTGGTGCAGGGCCCTCCGAGGGCACTTTAGCAGCATCCAAGTGCCTGTCCCCACTTCACTTAGCTTAGCAGCTGGCCTCCTGAAGACTGAGCTAAGGACTGACTTTCAGATACGGGGGCTGGGGGGTGTCACCTTTGTATTTCTCCAGAGTGCCAGGCATTGTGCAGGACACACAATAAACGTGATTAAGACAGACAAACAAACAAACTCAGGGAGCTCCCCACGGTGGGAGGGACAGGAACCACATATTCGTTGTGCGTACACTCTACAGGGGGCATCTCGTAGGTATTTCACATCCAGCCTGGGCAACCACGTGGTACGGGCCCCATTGACAGATGGAGAAATGCAGACTCAGAATGTAAGCAGCCCGCCCAAGGCTGTATAGTTGGTAAGTAACACAGCAGAAACCATGCAGGGATTTCAGAGCCTGAGCTTGCCCAGTGTCAGGTGACATAGGAGCCTACGTTTCCAACCAGGAGACCAAACTGTGGAGAACCACACTGAGGAAGAGGACATCACAGGGGCGGGATAAACAGTAGCTAACCACTGACTCCACTCCACTGTAATTAATGGTCCCAACAGGAGAAGACTGAGACCCTCTTCTAGGGGCAGGGGAATAACAGTGCTGTGGGCTTCAACAGGAGTGAGGCGCACGTGGGCAGTCCACACATCACTGTGAGGAGGCCTGGGCCTGCTGGGGCATTTCTGGAGATGAATTAGGCCAACTTACGCTTTTCCCTTGAAAAGGCTCTGCAGAGCCTCAGATGTGCTGTGAGTGAGGACGTGGTGAGGTTCCAGCTGTCCAGATACCTGGTGAGCGGGCTCGGGAGCCACTTAGTGCACGCAGCCTGCCTTTTTCTTTTCGACACTTTAAACACTTAGGTTTATTATAAACTTCCTGAATCACTTTACTCTTTGGTGAGTAATGTCCATGAAAAGGATCATTTATCATCTACTCATTGAGTGCCAAGTTAGGGGCAGGTGCTGGGGATGCACAGACAAATGAGCAAAACAGAGAAAGCTGCAATCTTCTGAACCTATCTTTTCCCATGATTCTGCCTGTTGGGCAGAGAAAGAAGTTTCTGGGCTGGTGCTGCAGATTCAAGAAAGAGCTACACGCTGGAACATTCTGGCGGCACAACAAAGAAGGAGGCAGCATAATACCCGCAGAAGGGCAGGGGATCGGGAGGCAAACTGCTCTGCTCTGAAATCCTGGCTCTGGCCCTCGCTAGCCAGGCACATGGGGGCACCTCACTCAACCTCTCTGACTCTCGTTCCCTTACCAGTATAAGGACGGTAATCATAGCAGCTACTCCCACTGGACTGAGTGGGGAGTTGAGATATAATATGGACAACATGCTTTACACACCTGACATGGAATAAGTCCTCAATCCAATACTACCCACATTACATTGACACAGCCCAACTCAGAGGGAGTGAATGTCATCTGAAATTTCAGCAGTGGTAGGATCAAGAGGCCCCGTTTTCAATGCGCTTCCCCTTCAATCTCTGCCATCTGCTCAGAAAGTGCCCCTTTAGACAGAGCTCTCTCTGGGTTCTGCAGGGCGAGCTCCGCAGGCGCACGGGGGCGTTCTGGCCCCTCACTTACTGTCATGCTCCTGAACTCATCTTCGAACATGTCCAAAAAAATTTCTTCTCCCTAAAAAGAAAGAAAGGGAGGGAAGAGAAGATTATGCATATTTTTTCCATAAGCAACAAAGTGTTATAAACTCCAGTTCAAGGCTTTGGGGGACATCTGTTTCTCATTAACGAGTTCTCGTAAATCACCAGGAAATAAAATACACACGTGAACACCAACACACACGCTCAGATGAAAGACCAAATATCAAATTGCACCTCTCAATGTTTTTCTCCTTTTTTAAAGCATATATAATTAGATTTCTTCTATCAAAGTAATTTAAAAAAACCAACAAAAATAGCACTACATTTAATTAAAATATAAAAATGGTTAATATTTTTCAAGTGTTTAATATCATCTATTTGTCAAGAAGGTTGGAAAAATGAAGAATCCTGGTTAAGTTGCCATGTTAAAACTACGAGGCTCCAAGCCTCAGAAAGGAGGAGTATAATTAAATACGCTCAACACTAAAACCATACGGTGTGTTAATTCGTTTTTGAGTCACATCTTTGGGGTTTCGTAGTTCCTCAGGCTGTGACTCTGCCCAGGAGGTCCTTCTCAGAACAGGGTGGTGGGTGGGAGCTTGGTTCCGAGACATAAACCTGGGGCCAAATCCCAGCTTTACCTCTCGAAGTCTCTCTTTGTTTGGCTGCAAGAGTCGGATGACAGCCCCCATCTGTGCGGGTCATTGTGAAGATGAAATGAGTTACTGAGCACAGAGCCTGCCGCTCAGTTGGGGCCGGTAAACGTTAGCACTCACGGTCCTGACAATCATTACTGGACGGGAGGGACCAGAGTGAGGGAGGGGAGGGGAGATTCAGCTGAATGCGTCATGACTCTTAGAACTGTCCTGTCTCTCTCGTAAGTCCTGAATCTCTCTCTCTCTCTCTCTCTCTCTTTCTCTCTCTCTCTCTCTCTCTCACACACACACACACACACACACACACACACACACACACGGAGGGGGAAAACGAATAGGTCCGTTATATATTTTTCCAGTTATCAGAACTACAGATAAACTTGAATATTCTTGCGTGGTTAAATATCACACAACAACCAGGGAAATAACAACCACTGGAAACTCAAAAGCTTCTGAGATACTATACTTAGGGTGTCAATCTTATAGGATAAAAGAGAGCTGGGTCGGGAGAAGGGAGCTGAAATTCAAATACAGCTCTCCTTTTGTTAATGATAAAGAAACACCTTCGTGGAAAATGCCTACCTATATGTCCTTGTGTTTTTTCAATCCAAAAGCTTTCTAGGGGGGAAATAAACTGAAAGCAGTTATATTGAAAGGAGAGTCAGAGACAACTAATGCAACTGCGAGGTTTCTGCTTCCTTCTGGGCTTTGCTGGAGGACATGTGCCCGCACTTAGAAGCCAGGTGTGGTTGGGGATGGTCTAGGGGAGACAGGGGTTTCCTCCCCAGTGCATGGGGGCCCACAGTGCTGCCACCCTCGGCTAGGCATGTACCCCATGTTGCAGCTGCATGAGGTCACCTGAGCCTGGGGAGGTGGATTACAGATTACATGACCTGGTTTTATCTCATCGAACACTGACAATAATGGACAATGGCTTAAAAAGTGTCCTGCAAAGAAAAAGATCCCTGTGCAAATATGTACATAATTCACAGCAGTCTAGAGGGAAAACAAATAACGAAAGTGCAGGTGAACAAAACGAAAATGCAGCGCCGACACCTTTGCTCCTCCTAAGAGGATCTCTTCACCAGCTGAATTACAAGGGGAAAGCATCACTAGCTGGATCTAGAGACATCTGATGTGGAAGCCAAAAAATGAGAAAACCATGAGGACTGTCTGACGTACGGGTTAATCCACTATTGTTGACAAATGATGAGCCCTGCCTACGAATATACTACGCCTTAAGACTAGAGCTAAACAAAACCATTACAATGAGATAATTTTAAAACGAATCATCTGGAATCTGAAGACATATCTACAAATTTTTCAGATACTGAAAGTCATGGTGGTCCTTTACAAAATCTCACTAAACCTAATGGTAAATGTTGAGAAGCCTGTATGAGGTTTCTTAGCATACATGTATATAAATAATATACATGTATATAATTCATATGGAGTTCAAAAGTAATTGTATATGTATAAGCACATGTAAATATAAGTTCATATGTATAATTTAGTCATATGTGCATTTATGTAAATAATTCATAATTTACAGGTAAATTCATAAGTCCTCAAAAGTTGTGCTAAGGAGAGAGCATGGGCAGGAAAGTGCAGAGACCGCTGCTCTGCAGATTGTGGACTTGGGCATTCTTACTCAGGAACCACAGGTATAAGAAATAGCTGAAGACACGTGACCTTCACGTGCACAGAGCCACCACTACAACCCTGTTTATCTAGCGCACACCACTCTGCTAACCCTGTGCTTGGCCGACTTACCTTATAAAAGTGCCGCACTAGGTGAACGCTTTCTTCTCTCGCGCCCTGTTAACAGAGAGGGAAGGCATAAGGGAGGCAGGTCTCATGGGGGCGAGGGCGCTGGATAAACTACAAATTCTAAAATCTGAGGGTATATAAGACAGATGCTGGGCTAATATCCTTAATCTGTAAAGTGGTTTTTAATGAGAGAGGGAGAGGGAGGGAGAGCTCAAAATAGAAATGGGCAAAGGATAGGCGTTCAACGTAATGACATGGAAAGTGGTTAATATACAGTTAAGTGGGGGAAAATGGGTTATAAAATATGACTGTTACGACTCCATTTTTATAAAAAAAAGCATGCGAGTGTGTATCTGGAAAGACACACTCAAAACGTCAACTACAGTTGTTACTTTTTACCTCTCTGTACTTTCTAAATTTTCTAAAATAAACATGGAGAATAAGGTGTAAAACAATAAAAGCTATTTAAAACAGTGTTACATTGATCTCCCTTCAGAACCTTACAGAATGTATATACAAGCACAATAAACTATAAATAAATGTGTGTATGTGTTTGTATATGCATAAAATTTTTGTAATATAAAAGAAAAATTTAAAAATCCTGGAGACAAATACAGAGCCAAATAATTATAACAGAAACTTCTGAAATTCACTAAGTGGGCCCGTCAAGCCCATCTCAGCGGAAGGGCAGTTCCGTTGGAACAAGTGGGTTGCAGCAGGGCGCCAGGGGTATCAGGCCCAGCTTCCTCCCGCTGGTGCTGTGGACACCGGCGGACAGGGCTCCGATCTGGATCCAGCTGCTTCCCTCCGACCTCCTCCCCCTCTCCACGGCACAGGCAGCATGAGGGAGGGGGGCCCTCACCTCCAGGCAGGCCAGGTGCACGTCCTTTATGATGCAGCCTGTGCTGGTCACAACTTGCTGCTTTAGAAGCAGGCAGCTCAGCTCCAGTGTCGCCAACCGGATCTTCCCGTCTGCAGAGCACACCAAGGTCAGCCTCGCACACCCCAGGCTGCACGCCTTCAACACAGTCTCGCCTACTGGAGGTTGACCGGTCAGCTGACTGGCCGACTACACGAGGCCCCCTGACATCCAGTGGGGACACAGAGGGAACCCCTACATGCCCACCCCCTTCCAAATCGACTACAACAGAATGTTCCCATCAAAACTGCCTCTACCAAATACTCCCCTGCAGTCCCTTTATCAGAGGAGGAGAGGCAGGAAAAAGAGGGTAACTAATCATTACGGAAGGCCTAGAAAGTGGCCGTCCGGGGCTGCTTTGCTTGTCCAGCATTCCTTCCCCTTCAGGGACAAGCACCCTCACTTTTCCTTGGGAGAACCAGCAGCCCCACTCTTGGTCATGTGACTTAGGTGGAGCTGGTCCCAGGGATGGGCACATCACCCAGGCTGGTCAGGGTGCTCCAATCCTCTGGTCACAGTGACTGGACAGGGGACAGACAAGGGAACCAGTCAGCAGAAAGACTCAATTCCACAGCTTGCTGGAACCACTGAGCAAGAGAGTCCCTCCTGTGCTGGGCTGTGGAGGACAGGGGCAGGGGCGGGGCCCTGAGTGGCACAAGCATGACAACCCACAGTGCCCACCGCCCCACCCTCGCCAGTGTTTTCAATCTTTTGTAAAGCGTTCTGCAAACCGGGCCCTGAGTCCCCCCTTCCCACCAGATTGCCCAAAGTGTCTCTCCCTTAGCAAGTCTAGAGCCCAACAGAGAGAGGGAAGGCCAGAGCTGCTGGCAGATAGCTTGCCAACACAGAAGGCTGCCGAGTCCAAAGAAAGTCTTAAAAACGCTGTTTGAGGGCCGGCCCCGTGGCTTAGCGGTTAAGTGCGCGCGCTCCGCTGCTGGCGGCCCGGGTTCGGATCCCGGGCGCGCACTGATGCACTGCTTCTCCGGCCACGCTGAGGCCGCGTCCCACATACAGCAACTAGAAGGATGTGCAGCTATGACATACAACTATCTACTGGGGCTTTGGGGGGAAAAAATAAATAAAAATAAAATTATTTAAAAAAAAAAAAAAAGAACAAGGAAAAAAAAACGCTGTTTGAGCCCCTGGATCCGGCTGGGCTCAAGCCACAGCCTAACAGACTTCAAGTTACATGAGCCAACAGTTTTGTTTGTTTGTATTGTTTCAGGGAGTCTGGGCTTGGTTTCTGCCAACTGCAACCACACTCTGACTGACACAGCCTGCTCTCTACTGTCTGGGCGCTTTACAGACGCTCCCCCAAGGAGTCTCTATAACCCACTGCAATGGGTGCTCTAAAGACTGAGGTTCAGAAAGGCGAAGTGACTTGTCCAAAGTCTCGCCCCGAGCAGTGGTGGACTCCAGGTGCTCTGAATGCCAGAACCCACACCTGGCATGGCTCCTAGAAGCATCTGTGACTGCCTGACCAACGAGCAGCCTGTCCCTCCGCAAACTCCTGCCTGGGGCTTTAAGCTCATTTCTGGGGAGGTCTTGATGTGGAAGAAAGGGCCAGGAGAGGAGGAAGTCTCCAGCCACACCTCCGAGGGACCAGGATGGGCCACTGGGAAAAAACTCAAGGCAGGTGCCTCATCACACACCTCCCTGCCTGTCCTTTTGTAAATGTCTCACCTGTCAGGTGGGGAACAGATGAGAAGAGGGACTCCGTTTGCTTAAAAGTGAACAGGCTATCCACGAGCAAAACCAGAGCTTCCTAAGCATGATCCAGGGGCCACTGGGAAAAGGCTGGTTAGTCTCAGCTCAGCGGCTCTCCTGGTCCCAGCCCCACCCAGCCCAGCACTGACATCCTCCGTGCTGCAGCTCCCGCCCGTCTGCCCTGCTCCAAGCTCAGTAGTTCTCTGGAGCACAGTCTCACTCCTGCCTGTCCTCCACCAACCCCACTGCTGACCAAGTCAGAAACACCCCTCCTGCTGCCTCCAGGGAAGTAGGATGTGATTTTCCACCAGGACTCCTCTTCCTCTGCAAGCTCCTGCAAAGGAGCTGACTTGCTCCCACAGGCCCTGCCTCTGGAGGGAAACGGAGGGAGCAGCAAGCCCCTTAGTCCTCATCGCAGCTTCCAGACTGTCCCTCTGAGCTGCCTCAACCTCTTCTCTTCAGAAATCCAGGCTGTTCTATACACCAGCCTACAAGGGGCCCGCTGTCCCTCCCCACCCTGGAGGTTCCTCTCCCAACATCCAGGCCACATTCCACCTTGCTTGACCAATGAGCCACGTCCGCGCACACAGCTCCTGCCAATCACCCCCTCAGCCACAATCTTCAGGGACACGTTCTGCCTCCCTGTACTCGACCTCTCAGCAGAAACTGACCCCACCAGGCAACCCTCGGTCCTGAGCCACACGCATCTCTTGCCGCCCAAGACACCCCCCTCCCGCCCCTCTTCTTCCTACATGGGGCCTGGCTCAGGCTCCTGTGCTGGCTCCCCCTCTATGTCATCTCTAGATATCCGCAGTGGCCCAGGGCTTGGTCCTAGACACGCCTCCCTTTTCTTCCGTGGTTTTAAAAGCCATCCACTTGTCTGTGAGTCCCACAGTGTTAGTTCTGGCCCTGACCCTCGGAGCTCTAGATTCCATCTCCGCATGGAGTCCCAGACTGCTAGGACTTCACAGAGCCCAGCTGTGGTTCCTGGAAGGCAGGAGCCATGTCTGTCCCACACTTGTCACTTGCACACAGTGGCTGGCATGCAGGAAGCACTCAATAAACGCTGTCCGGTTTACTGACGCCCTGTTGACACCCTTGAGACCATGGACCTGGCTCTCCAAGCCCCTGCACTCACTCCCTGGCAGTCACACTGTGCTTCTGGCCACATTTGACTTGTGAAGTCCTCATCTGTAATCACAACCCTGCCCCTGCCCTTCTCCTGAGCTGTCCTGGGCCCACCCCTGGATTGCTCCTGATCGCACAGTCAGCGGTTCTCTCTCGAGCAGGCCGCATCTCTGTCCTTCCCCACGCACTCACTCACAACCCCACAGACTCTCTCCCTGCCTTGGCAGAGAACCTGCCTTGCAATCAGGGTCTCTCAACCACAGTACTACTAACGTTTTCAGCCAGATAATCCTTTGCCTTCAGGGGCTGTCCTGTGCACTGTAGGATGTTTAGCAGCATCTCTGGCCTCTACCCATTAGATGCTAGTAGCACCACCTCCCTAAGTTGTGACAACCAAAACTGTCTCCGGACACTGCCAAATATCCCATGGGGGGCAAAGCTGCCCTCAGCTGAGACCCACTGTGCGAGGTCATCCCACCCACTACCTCTAGCCCTTGCTGGGGCTGCAGATCAGTGTTGACCAAAACCTCAGAGTTGGGCTGCCAAGTGCCAGACACTGGGCACGTCTTGTATTATCAAGAGTACCGGATCCAAACCTTCCACCTTCTCCCTTGCTCACACTCTCAGCGTGGGCCACCCCAAGAGGAGGGCCGCAGACACTGGCAAAACGGGGAGAAGAAGCTTGGGTACAGAAGGCGAAGAAAGACGGGCTGGCACAAACACCATGGGGGAGGAAACAGGGGAGACCCAGAGATGAGACCTGACTGCAGTGGGCAGGAGGGTACGGGTGGCCCAGACACGAGTGTGTGTGGCAGAAGGAGTGGCCGAGATCTGCCCGGATTCCTGGAAGGGCCAGGACTAGCACCAGGTCTCCTGGTGCCCAGAGTGGGGGCCTGGTGCCTCTAACGCCACCACCCCTGTGAAGAGCCAGCAGCCCCAGGCACCTGGCTGGGCAGCGTTGTTCATGATCCTGATGAGTCTTTCCGTCAGTAGATGGTTGTAGGTGGTCTTCTCGACTGCGCTGGGCACTGGGAGCTGGATCCGCTCTAGTTTTTCAGGATCCATGCCTGGAACAGAGGAAGGAGCAAGCTGTAAGCGGAGCTGCCTCATCGAGAGCCCTCCTCATCCTGAAAGGCCCCTCAGAGTGGGCTCCCTACCCCGGCCGTACATGGTCCCTCTGCGTGACTTCTGCCTCGCCTGGCTGCTGCCTGTACTGTAACTTACCTTGGAGTTTTCTGTAAATGGAATTTAAGTAAATATATTAAAGCATGCAATTTCTATCACTATTTGTAAATAGGAAATCAGCATTGCTGCAATATTGACAGTAACGAAGGGAGGGAGGGAGGGAGCAAGGGAGGGAGGAAGGAAGGAAGAAACCTAAGCCAACAATGTTTTTACATTTTAGCCAAAGACTGTTGACTGGCTATTCATTATGGCCCGAGGCCTGCTCTGTCTGTGTTAACAAGGGAGATTGGCAGTTACTCAAAAGGTGTTGAAGACGCACTAGCCCCAAATGGTGACGAGCTCCTGGACATAACCAGAGGGACTGGAAAGGGAATGGACAGAGGAGTCACTCGCGCACAGTGTGCTTCACTGCCAGTTCACGCCAGGTCTGCGTGCCACCCGAGGCCACTCCTGTGTTAGACACATCCCACAGTGGGGGAGACACAGACCTACACACACAGACACCCGAGAGGACAGAACCCACAGTCAGATCCAACAATCGCACCTCAAGCTCTTAACACCAGACTCAAAGAGCTGGGCCCACCACTCAACAAACTCAGGGGCAGCAGGCACTGCGCTGGGCGAGGGGGTGGCATTAGCAGAAAGAGACCAGGCGAAACCTTAGTACAGAAAGGTGCAAAGACAATGAACCCAGGAGAGCAGATCTGTATTTCAGAAGCAAAGGAATCGCTTTTCCTCCAGCGAAAACTAATGGCATTAACAGACAAGACGGGGGAGAGGTGGGTGGGAAGGAAAGGGAGTGGGCAAAGGCTGTGAACCGAGGGTCATTTTTCCTAAAGCACAACCTGGAGCAGGGGTCACAGGAAGACCTGTTGGGGCTACTCAGCAGGCCAGGTGTGGGACGAGAGGAGTTCCAAATCCTTGTCCTCTCATCTAACAAAGCTCTGGAAAAATACACTTGCAGAAACAAACATTCCACTTGATCCAAGTCTGGAGAGCTGACCAGATTGTTTGTGCTTGAAGCACGTCTTTTCCTGTTATTCGACAAAAGGGGGGAAGGTGGCACTTCTCGGAACTCTTGAAATACGGCCCCTTGAGTACTCGACCGACGCTTCATTTAGAACCTTGACAAAAGAGCGGAGGACAGCACTGAAGAGCCGATTGTCCGGATTCTAAGTAACTCGCACACACACGTTGACGCAATAAACCACAACAATACATCTTGCTTTATTGAACTCCTTCCAGCTCCAAACCAGAGAAGAAGTCATGCCAAGAGATGACACGGGTGAGGGACGGCCCAAGGGCTTGAGTTGGGCAGGTCTCTCTCTCACACCCCACGAATGTGGCTTGCTTAAAAAATTTGATTGCAATGAAAATTTCATTTGTGGATTCTAGATCCCATTTTGATGTGAAATGTCTAACTCTGAAGCATTCTGGTTAATATTATTAAATGGCAAGAAGAATGTCAACTGAATCTTTCTGGCATTTGGTTTTCTCCAGAACTGTCAATAGCGTCCTAACATCCCTCTATCCTTTCATTTCTGGCCCTCTGGGAACTGTCAGTCAGTGTTTCTGGGAAAAAAAATGGCTCCTCAGCCTGCCCGGTGCATCACCCGACGTCATGACCCGGCCATCTGTCACCCACGCCACAGAGAACAGCACAAGAGCCCAGCTGCTGGTTCCTTCGGGAATGTGGTGGTGGCCCGCAGAACCAAGGAGAGACAGAGACTCCGACCAGTTCTTGAATTTCCGTGGTAGGCTCCATTTTGTCTCTTTCCTATTATTGCCCCCTACTCCCTTAGAATTTTCAAAAATGAGGAAATCTGTAGCAAAATTTTCTCTCAAAAGGAAAAAAACGTTCTGAGGTTATCCTGACCTTCCTCAACTGGTGGCTCTACTCTCTGTGAAAGGAGGGGCTCCGGAAGACAGAAACACTTTGAGAACTTCACAGGACAGAGTCCACTCCAACCTCTTCCTTTAGTGAGGAAATTAAGGCCCAGAGACATTAAGTCACGTCTTCAAGGCCACAGAGCAAGTTAGAGGCACAATTAGAACTAGGATGATTCAGGCCGGCCCCGTGGCTTGGTGGTTAAGTGCGCGCGCTCCGATGCTGGCGGCCCGGGTTCGGATCCCGGGCGCGCACCGAGGCACCACTTCTCCGTTCATCCTGGGGCCGAGTCCCACATACAGCAACTAGAAGGATGTGCAGCTATGACATACAACTATCCACTGGGGCTTTGGGGGGAAAAAATAAAATAAAATAAAATCTTTAAAAAAAAAAAAAAACAAAAACAAAAGGGATGTTTTAAAAAAAAAAAAAGAACTAGGATGATTCCAAAGGTGGACAAGATCCAGATGGGGAGGTGGTGGTACCACCGGCACAGTGAGCCGACCACGGCAAGCAGCGTGCAAGGCCTGCCCTCTGTGCCGACAACGGCCACCTCCTCCGGGCCTCCTTGTGCCCTTGGGCTCCCTCTTTCCTAGGGTACCTTCCACACTGTGGCTGGGGTGGAGGAGAAGCGAGTCGGGCATAGGAGGAAATCTGTTTTGATACTTTATCCTCTTTGACCCTCAGTCTCCTCACCTGAGCAATGGGAATAATGACAGTAAGTGCCCATTCCACAGCTGGTGTCAGGATCCAGAGGGAAGAAGCATGTGTTATGATTCAATAACAGTTACCTGTCGTTATTATGCACTGACGGGATTTTTCTTTGAGCGTGGCTTAATGTATTTGTATACAGTTTGTATTATGAGAGGAAAGAAAGAACAAAAGGGCCAAAAGGAAAACAACCTAACAAAAGCTAAAACCAAGCTAATAAGAAGGCACGCTGAGTCCTCTGGGGGCCAGCTCAGGGGATGAGCTGCTCAGGTTGGATTCTTTTTTTTTTTTTTTTTTGTGAGGAAGATCAGCCCTGAGCTAACATCAGATGCCAATCCTCCTCTTTTTTGCTGAGGAAGACTGGCCCTGGGCTAACATCCGTGCCCATCTTCCTCTACTTTATATGAGATGCCGCCACAGCATGGCTTGACAAGTGGGCGTCCGTGCGTGCCTGAGATCTGAACCTGTGAATCCCAGGCCGCCGAAGTGCAGCGCGCACTTAACCGCTGTGCCACCGGGCCAGCCCTCAGGTTGGATTCTGAAGGGTGAGCAGGCATCTGCCTTGAGCTGCACGGGGCAGGCCAGGACTCACCAGGCCCAACAGGGGACTGGCAGGAGTGTGGTAGAGCCTGGGGAGGGCAGACCAGGGGCTCTGGGAGGAAGTGATGAGGCAGACGTGGGGCAGAAGGGACAGGCAAGGCTTGGATGCCAGGATCCCTGGAGGCCAGCTAGGGGGACGGGACACAATCCAGTGGTGCTCTGGCCTCTATTCTCCCAGCCACTCAAGGTGATCTCCATGCTTCTGGCACTTTCCCCCAAACAGACTTGGTATTGCAACGCATTCTACGTGAGACAGATTTTACCACCAGCTATGGGGAGACAAAGCAGGGTCGATTCCACACACCACACAGCAAAACTTTCTTAAAAACCCCTTTGACCATCTCCGTTCTTTCCCCAAAGTTCCTCCCAGGCCAGGTGCCTCATTTTCTCTCCCCTATTTCTCTCTTTCTCCCACCATGGCCTCTAAAACCCCCTCTGGTACTCCAAATTATCCCACCCCGACCTGTGGCTTTCCAGGCCTGTGCAGCAATTCAAAAGCTCCAGACATTCTTCTGGGTCCAAACAAAATGGGGCTGAGAGCTGTGAGTGAACAAGGGCAATGTCACGACATGACAACAACATGACAACAACATGCACGAGAAGGGGAAATAGCACACGTGTGTGCGCACAGACACACACACACACACACACACATAGGTTTCAGTCACTGACAAGAAGGTTTTGCTGCAAATCCTACTGAGTTTCCTTGCTGGCCGTTTCCCTCTGACAGAAATAAATACTGTGGATAATGTATTGTCCTATTTGCTTCAAGCCTTAAGTGCCAAGTGGCAGACAAATTCCAAAGAAACCAGATGGACTTCACATGGCCTGGGAAGACACATGAGCAAGTGCAGCCTTCCAGCAGACCACATGCTTCCCTGCTCCCCTCTCGCCTGGTCAGATTCTGCTCTGCCCGAATGAGTCAGACCGGGTGGCCCCTCTTCATCGCTTCCACTGGCCCTCGGGGGCAAGGCAGGGGTGGAACTCCCAACTAATGAACTCAGAGAATCCAAAATAGAAGGGAAGGGTGTGGCTCTGAGATGTCAGTAACCAGTTACCAAGCTTCTCCTCTAAGTTGTGATTTCTGGATTCTTCCTTCTTAGCGGTAGCCCCCATTCAGAACAGGGGTGGAAGAGATCCAGACCAAAGCTACATAAAAAGAAGTAGACAGACAAACCTGGATAAAAGTACCACAACAGTGCCAGATAAATAGTGGTCAAGTTTTTTTTTGCTTTTGACTATGGAAGGTCTCCTTGGCTGTGGTCACGTAAGCATTGCCAGTTCTGGAAAACTATAGACTATTTCGAAAGCTAACCAGATGTTGGGCCGATTTCCAATGTACTTCCAATTTGACTCTGTGTCAGTTGAGATCCAAAATGATGTTTTGCCAGCTCTCTGCACGGTCAGAGCCTCCCTTTAGCCTAGTACCTTTCAACCTTTCTCATACCTCTCATCCCTGTTCCAGTAACTTCTCAGCAAAACAAAAAAACAAAAAGCCCAAGATTCCTCTTGGGTAAACAATGATAAATGGCAGAAGCAGGAGTGGAAGGGTGGTGGGTGGAGTGGGGAACCTTTAAGAATACAAAAGCTGCAAAACTCACCCCCTCCCTTGGGCCAGGGCTCTGCAGACTTGACAAAGGAGAGAGGGCTGCATTTTCTATTACAAATATGAACCAGAATTCA